ACACACACACACACACACACACACACACACATACTTCGGGAATCAAACAAGGTCATCGTTTTGAAATGGAAAAAAATGACGCCAAAAATTGTTCTACTCTTTCCTTCCCCTTGTGCTGTTTGATGTCGTGGTGCAACTTTTGGTTGGCAACACACGCAGGCCTGCTTAAAGTAAATCACATGTTTAATATCTTGAAGCGACCGAAATTAAAGTCTAATTTAATCAGTTGTTAGTAAGTTGCACAGTGAATGCGTGAACTTTTCATGGCCACGTATAAAGCTAGGCTAGGCGTGCAGAATACTCACTTAAGATCTGCATGCTGTTTCGTCTCTGTATACAAGGAGTCTGATGTAAATCTGGGATCGGAACAAGTCTCTCTAGTCAAGTCAGAGTCGTTAGTGAGTGTCCATTGTTCTCCAGGTTTATATAGAACTGTGACTGGGAACAAAGCCTACATTTTCAAGGGTAGGATATTGCGAAATACCTATTTTCAACATCGCTATATCACCGCATTCTTTGGCCTAACAACAAAGCAGCCAATGAAAATGACTCTGTCTGAATGTTCACTAAGGCCAGGTGAGTTCTCTTAAGCTAGAGCAAGGTAACCCTTCAGCAAATTAAATCCCACAGACCTTGACTTGATTGGATCCTCTTGGCTGCAGAGTCAAAGGTGTTGCGAGGGACGCGCAGCATGACAGCGCTGTTTCTGTTCCTCTCGGACATAGCTGTTCAGCGCCGTGGAGTGGACTAGAGCTGGGCAATGGGTTGCTTTAACAAAATCCGAATATGTTAGTGCACCTCTTCTGCAAATAATATGACATGAACCGATTTGACAAATGGGTTAGGACCACTTTGACAAACGGGTTAGCATCACTTCAACATAATATTATGGGTGTATCCACTGCGGCAAGGGGCCAGGAAAGGGAGTTAAGAGTCTAAATTTGGCCAATGTTTCATTGAGAATTATCCGGAGTGGACCCATTCAGCCCTCCGTTCTTTTACTAGGGTGACGTCACAGCCATGAGCTCCTTGGGCCAAGAACATGAAATGGACCAACTTGCTACTCGAATGTGGGTCTGAATATCAATAGGTGAAGGACAAAGGCGAATATGGATCGTCACACCCGACTTGAAGATCTCCCTTATGACAACCCCCTTAAACTAGTTAAACGTCGTAGAAACCAAAGGCAAAAAAAGAGTGTTTGGGCTTATTGTTGTTGTTGTTGTCGTTTTGTTGTTGTTTTAGAGGATAAATCTCTCCCTATGTTTTCTGTAAAGACATTGATCTAGGCGTCTGCCCAACTTGATCCACCAAGAGTGATTTTACCCAAGCTTTCATGCTGATCACGTAATTACCGAATATATTATTATTATTATTGTTCCTATTATTATTGTTACTATTATCATTATT